TATTCGGCTATCGTTAATCGGATCATGAAAAAAATGCTTGTGCATATGTCCCATATAATGTGTGATGTATGAGTGAAGTTTGAACTTAATCGGTCCATGCATGTTCGAGATACAGGTGATCACGGACGGACGGACGGACGCACGGACACACGGACGCACACAGGGCAAAACATAAGTCCCCGTTTTCGGACTACGTCCGAACGGGGACTAATAACTAATATTATTTATTTTCATTGATTTACAGATGTGAAAGGGGCTTTTGTGCTCTGAATAAAAAGAGAACTCAGAAATAGATTGTCCCAGAATGTGTTGAATGCCCTGTTGCTGATCAGCATTGAAGCCCCCAACCCAAGGATTTTGACTTCAACAAGGCAACTGCTGTATGGTCTTAGATAAGGAACAGAAGAATTAAACTTGATGTTTGAGACTAAAATTAAGATCATTGTTAATGTAAATACTGTAAAATATGTATTTATGGAAATAAAACACTATTGATGTGTATTCATACTTTTTGTATGAATATTTCCAGTTATCCTTTAACTACCGGTTAAATGCCCTGCCCACTTTGACATGATTTTGCCACGCCCACTTTGACATTTGACTTCATACTGCCCACTTCTACGTTCTTGGGTCACGTTCCCTCTATCAATTTTAATTTGTAAAGAACACTGATTTATCATGAAGACATGGAGTATAACATTGAAGGCAAAAAATAATTCAACAGTTACAATGTATTATGTACAATAAACAGAATTATATTAAAACTATTTGTTGTATTTGTTGATTTTTATGTTAAATGGTTATCTAAATAAATATTTTTCAGAAGTACCCCAAAATAAAACAATTTTTTGTAAAAACAAGTACAACAATAACATACTTTTCTGTAATATAAAAGTAACCAAACAAAAATAAGTTTTTAGCGATATGGTACGGCAGAACACAATATAGTTTTCTGATCTTTGGAAAACCTAATTGCAATAACGATGTTGCACATAAATGACAATAGGTTCAAGTTTTAGATCTTGGTGTAAAATGGTATCCTTCAAATAATTTTTGAAGTTGTTCCATTCAATCATGGCATCTCCTGTTATGTCAGCTGCTTCTCGCGTTGAAGAAGGTGATGAGACAATACTCTCACATCGGCATTGCCATCAGTAGTAGTTGAGCTATCCCGGCATAAACTATCAGAATTATAAATATAGTGAAGTGTCTGAGAATACCGCTATCTTTGTCTGGGAATCATCGTCAATGTTTGTAATCAATGTATTGATGTATTTTTCATGGACATGATAAAATCTATATCATTGGCCCATATTTTCAGTGATCATTGCAATTTGTTGATTAAGTCAGGTAACTACTGTAACTTTTTGGCGTTGTTGGTCTTCGTATCACTTATTGTAGTAATTGTAGATCAGATTAACGGTCTCGTGCTGGAGTGGCACAGATAAATGTACAATAAAGAGATTATGTTAGTTGCACCTCAGATAACCAATAAACAGACTGAGAACGCACATTGTTTAAGTTGTTAATCGGCTTAAATCCATGTGCTATATGTGCGCCTCGCTTCGTTGCATTGGCTTAGACACCGTCAAAGTTTACCGAACACCGGGGATATTCTGCACACTTTGTGCTTCTACGGAAATTGCACATTTCTTTGTAAAACAGATCCTGACATTTTTAAAACAAAAGAAGATGCGTTCACGAAATTTTGACATTTGCAGCTGTGTAACATTTAGGCGAATGTCTTAGTATATATCTCAAATAGTTTTTGAATATATAATCAGCAATTTTGAAACAATATTTCTCGCTGTTGCCGATTTTAAGGAAGGTTTCCGCCATCTTTTGGGAAGGGCATATGGCAGTTTCAGAGTATCAGCATAATCCGGTTAGCAGTAACATAGTATGAGATATATACAAGTTGTTCAACGTTTACTAGATATGATAAGAATGATAATCCAAACAAATGTGAGGTTGCACATATTTTTCAGTTACCCTGGTAATTGTTTTTTTTTTTTTTTACAGCAGATTGCTTAGAAATAGTATGACTGCTAGAGCTTACCAGCCATACTTTGATAGTCAGACTCCATGACAATAAAACACTAACTACAACCTGTATATTTGATAATTTACTAATTTCAAATTCAAACATTCTTGCTCTCAGTCGTTATTACAGCGTCAAAACTCAGCAAAATGACATTTTTTTTATAAAGTTACCGCATAAAGTGCTCGAGGGAGTGGGGGCAATACATAGAACTTGCCTAATGGGGACGTGCCCCTGAAATAGGTCTTGTTTTCTGGATTTGGTCTTATTTCTGATCAAGATAGGTATAAATATGCTCTTATGTAAGTGACAGAGGTGATGCTCTTCTAAAAGAGCAAATACGGTAACTGTTTTATTTGGAATAAACAGTAATGACAGAAATGGTACTTTGGTATAAATATGGATATAGATTTTGCCACTATTCAGGTATAAAATTGGTCACACGTTTGAGCACTCAGGGGCACCTCCCTGCCCAGCTATGTATCAACTGCCCCCCCCCCCCGGATAAAGTGCCATGCACGGTTACGACGATGGATGAAATATAAAAAAAATCTGGGTAGTAGACCACAAAATCTTGTTCTACATCAAAGCCATTGTATCGTACGCTATTTATCTAGACAGAGTGTCATCCTATCCACAAATTGCCAGACAACGTCAAAATAAAGGTGCCTTTTGAAATTTCCCAGATACGATTTTCCCTCCAACCGATTTAACTGACCCCTCCCCTGAGTGAATATGTGCCGCCCTAACATTTAAATCACTAACGATTCTCATCGATGGGAGGTGACGAATCAATATTGACATTGTGGATCTGTCTAAGCCATTGCACGACGACGAACTTCATTGCAGTCCTCTCCACTCGTCCAACGAGTCTGGGATGACCGGTTACTGCGCATATTTAACGACAGACGCAGCGACATTTTTAAATTTCTCCTCAAAAAAGCACAGCTACACGACTGCACATACTTAACATGATAACACGACGGATATCACAAAATACACGTGGACATTCTGCCTTGGACAAATACATTACCTTTCAAAAACACGGGAAATAATGCAACTGCAGATCTTAATATCTCACGACAGCACAAAAAAGCACATGCCCCATCTCTCGTTTCAGTCAAACTAACTTTGGTCTATTCCATTCTGGTGGGTGTAACATTCTATGAGGTGTTAGTCAAGAAAATACTTTTGTAGACTTAACTTATTGAATAATTCACATATATGTTATTTTTTATCAAAATATTGGGGACATTGTACAACAAAGATAGAATAAAAATAACTATGCGGTTATGTGTTTATTGAGTACCACCCTGCTTGTTTCCTCCAGCAAATGATCTCGGCCATCGACAGTTTCTGCCGCTGGAGGCGTATGTAAAGACTAATTCACATGTTATTTCGACGTCACTTCATCAATCGAGTTCAAAAGGGTGACATTATTAGTTTACACGTAGACTGGCAAAGTCGGGACTTCTTTTTTGTTTTACAAAAAGAAATAATTAATTGTTTTTTATTCCTTTTAACGTGATCGCGAAAACTAATCTGACCGCAAAAGAATTTCTTTCGCAGTCACGCTAGTTTTTGCGATAACCTTTAAAAGAATAAATTGACATTTAACAATTATTTTTTTGTAAAAAAGTCCCGACTTTGCCAGTCCAGTTTACACGTTGCACGTTCGTTTTTAATCATAACTACAAATCTACAAGAATAATTATTGGAATTGCAGCAGCTGAAAGTGAATCTTCTGAAATAATTACATCATTTTTGACAAAGTTTAGTGATCTGTTCGGTGTGTGTGTTACATCGCTCCACAGTGGCGCCGGTGAAAGAAGGGTGAGGTGATCATCACCGTCAAATATGAAGTATGTTACATAACATATTAATTTTCTGGTTTTATTGATATGGCCGACAATATCCAGTACAAAACTGAAGTCATTTGATTCCAACTTAACTGGTATCTCTGGTATAAAACAAAATGTTTTTTTTTTTTTGTTTTTTTGTAGCTGGCTCAAAGCAGTAAAAATGTTTTTAACGTGGCTCGGTCGTTTCTTCCAATCATATTGTGGAATGCCTATGCCATAATCGACATATAGATCTGAGAGATTTACGAATACGAACATCTTTATTTAGGACAATATGTAGTAGGCAATATTCGGTAATCGTTGTCCTAATGTAACAATTCAATTTAGCAAGATGTTTCTGGAAATGACCCTTCTTCGGTAGCATATGAAAAAATGGCCACAGTAGTACGGTCAACGTCGGGAACATCTAACCTTGTGAATAGTTACTTAGAAAAACGATTACTAGTAATAAATATTGCCTCTTATATATCATATTTATCGACTCGATCAGTATATAATTACGTCGCGTGATTATTCAATTTCGCTATCGGAATTAAATACAAAATAAGTAAGCAGTGAAAAAATAAGTTCGCACTATCTAATTAGCCCTTTCAAAAAACGATAACATTTAATTCAACGTTTCCCCTTAAAACTACGGCTTCGTCGAGAACTATAAACAAAACTCGAAGTCGGGATAGATACTAAGTAACTGTGCACAATACAACACTGGGAATGTACAAAATATAGATTCTGAATGGTATGAAAGTTCTTTTCAATGGAAGCTATGAGTGGTGTTTATAGTGATATTGTGCTAGTAAATCAATCGGATTGGAAATTAAAGTCGTGCCTTCAAAAATAAATAGGAGAACATTGGGTGCAAATACTCAACCTAGAAAAGGTATGTGTTTACATTTTTATATCACTTACTATTCTCTAGATATTCAATTTTTCATCAGTGTATGTGACCCACCACCTTGGTGAAGTATGACATCATAGCCATCCAAAAAATAAGAAAATGCTTTCATCTATAATATCTAAAAGTAGGCCTTTAAATTCGACGAAAATTCGATAACTATCACCGACCATGCCAAGTTAGTGCCAACCGCACATATAACATAGTTATCACGTTGTTGCCATGGCAACAGAACTGAAAATATTTATTTTTGCATTTTTATGTTTTTTTCTGCCAAATGTTCACTTCTTCATAATATTTTATAGAAAATTAGTACATTCGTGCTTAAATTACATTTCTCTGCATTTTAGCGCTATTGAAGTATCGCGTTGCTGGCCTTAACTTCCCCTTCAACTTACAGACTTAATTTCTCAACTTACAGACTTTATGTACATACTTTATAACTTTCCTTTATCCAACGTGTCAATTGCTATGTTCACACGGCAGCATTCTATCGGAGCCGAACTACTGCTCCTCCCACGGATTAATAGGAGATTATCTACAATGTGTTCATACGGTCGAGAGCCGAACGTGAGCCGAGATTTGCCAGAGTTAGATTCAGTTCGATGTTCGATCAGAGCCGAGCGGAACAGTGCCCTTGAATAATTAGTGACTGAAAACGATTTTAGTGTCGTGCTTGTGTTTTTTCTTTACATGACATGATGCTGTTGAGCTAGGAGAAAAAAGAGCCTGAGCATGGAGGTAGAAAAGACAATGACTGGTATTATGATTTAGGTATAATAATAATAATCATCTTTATTGTTATCGTATCCTCTATGGGACTTTGATTGAAGAATACAGGTACATGTACTAGTATCTCGAATAAACAGGAAACACGGCAGCTAAAATGCGTTTAATACAGCCTATTCGCTCAAGTTATCGTCATGCAAAATTACCATTTTGTAACTATTCAAATGTAGTGATATCTAAACTACTAGGAAGAATCACAGATTCTCTATATCTATCATAGAGGGACTATGGAAGAATCTAAACCTATCAGGAACACGTCACCGTACCGCGATCGCTTCTACGATTTTTATCTTTAGTGTCTTTAAAAAGTTTCCGTTCAGTCGTTCTTTCAAGTTGTTGTCGCATAATTTCGTACGCCATTTTTTGTTTCCCGTTGAGCTAACAATCTATCGCAATGATTCGTTACTCGTACCTCTTATTCAAGCGGGAAATTGCGTGAAATTATGAAAGATGTTGTCTCCGCCATAATTGAAATGAGAGGTTACTCGAAGAAGACGATGAGGGCCTGATTTCGGCTCTTATAGTTGGGCCCGATGCGTTTACACGATCGGAGCCATGTCGGGACTCAACCCTATCGGAGTTCAACCCCGAGGGTTTAGTGGAGCCGAACCTGGCTCGAGTCTGCTCGAGCCGAACGCGTTTACACGGCCATTTTTGCTGGCTCGAGCCGTTGGGCTCCGATAAAATGCTGTCCTGTGAACGTAGCATATTGCTACGTTCACACGACAGCATTCCTCAGGGTTTAGAATTAATTACAACAGACACAATACTTAATAATTATGTATAAGGAATAACGGAATTAAACACGCCCACGATATTAAAAGTCTCCATATCAAAATACAAATTATTCTGGATGCGCCAATGTTAAATAAATTAGGCTCTTTTACAACTAATTGCGATAAACGAGTGGCCGCATAAAGTAGCATCACGTTGTTTCTTGACATGGTTCAAACTAACTCTACATACTCTAAACAGGAAACTTTCCGATGTGAGCATCAACAGCTAATGCCTTCTTAGTTGTTCAATGCACTTTGCTGACCGACTTGTTTCAGAGCCAAGTGACCTTACAGACATCCTCCAATCAAGCCCAATTAGCTATTATCAGCCGTATTATTTATAAACACAAAGGCACAAGGACAGAACATACAGCCAAGTCAGGTACTCATCGCGCTATCGGAGACTTTCTGACTCATAGTAATCTTGCTGTAGCCGACATATTTATTCACAGAGCAATGCACCCAGGGAAGTTGTCTAAAAATCAGGTACACAACCTTGAACAACAACAAAATATTTAGCTGGGGTATAAATATCTAACGTGATATCATAAATCATAAATACTTCTTCTTAGGCTTTCAGTAACAGAAATAGCACTTTTTGCGGGGTTAACCCCAGTTATCACATTCATCATGCTGAATGCTCTGCTCTTATGTCATGGCTAACAAATCAATTGTAGTTAGTTAATTTGGGTAAGCTATGTTTTACTCCCCCGAGCAATGCCTGTACCAGGATGCTTTGGTCAGACACTCAGCTTTCCCTACACTGTTTTTTTTTTTTTTATCAATCATCTAATTAGCAGGGAGATAGTAATAGAAAGTCTGGGATACCACGTTAAGGGAAAGAAAAAGACTAAGTTAAGGAAAAAAATCGTTAAACTCTGCATCTAGCGAGTCCGAGGCTGGCGTTGCTGCACAGAGTCCCTGAATGAAACCTGGTACTAAGAGCAGGCAACCCTGCATATACTATTGCAACTGCTTTTGGACACTCAAAGAAACTTGCCTAATGTGAACCCATCAACTATCAAAGTCAGTTGATCATCAAATGAATGCCACCAAATAACATGACATTTCCCAGTAAAATCACCAGAAATTAAAGATCTTAAATATTGGATACTCCAAGTTCAAAGCTCAAAGCCTGCAGATGTGTATTCTACAATAGGAAAGTCTAATCTGATAGATCATTTGATGCTTTCAATTCTCCGAGTCCCACATAGGCATATCAGATAGCTGATATCAAAACCCAACCGGATAATCCCAACAAAGGCGAAAGGAATTATGTTACTCTTTACTATTCCCGGTACAGCAGACAACATTTATTGTATGATTCTCAATCCAGCAAAATTAAATTCAATCGTGAAAATACCAGTTTTGACTCCGCAACCCAGCATAAACGACGAAACACGTGAGTATTATTTGTGTGGTGACGTTGCCACGCACAGAGATTTATTCGCATTAAATCTCTATACAATACATACATACTAATCTATGTGTGAAATTAAATCCACAATACAATTAGACATATTTGCACCTCATTTTAGTTAACGTACCGATACGTTCCCAGTCAAAACATTATTGTTCTATCAAATTACATTAAAATAACTACGTAGTATATACAGCCGAACCCCCATCAAAAGCGCACAAAGCCGTCCAGAATAATCAGAGACTCAAAACCCTTATTATTGTGGGGAAAATGTATGGAAACCTGCACCCGTCACAATGCACCTGGGGGGGGGGGCTTCACCCTAACAGTCAAACAATATAATAGCAATATAGATATAAATATGCAAGG